AGAACGGGATCTTTCAGCCAGCACTCGAGCATCAGGCGGTAAAGGATGGGTATGCAGATGGCCGGCCTTGACAGGCGTTCGCCATTGGCTACATGCTCAACTGCCTCCGCATTGGTCAGATGGGCGAAGGGTTTAAGGCCGAAGGAGAGAATCTCCCACATGCAAACGCCTGCAAATGAGAACACGACAGTGGTTAGAGGAAGAAACCCACTCTTTTCAAAATTTTCTGGCGCTTTTAATGGCGAAATTTTGAGAGTGGTGTCGGTGAGTCGAAAATGATGGGATATTAGTCGGTATAAGGCAGTATCCAACTCAGAGTCCGTATGGGGCTAGGAATTCTACAGTGCGGTTACGACCATGCTGGAGGGAAGAAAATCAATTTACACACGTAACCTGTAGAAGTCCTAACCACCGAAAAGATAATTCAACCGGGAAACTCTCAAGTTGCGGTACCCACAAGCAAAAATAAACATTATACAAACTTTTGTAACTGCAAGCCGTTAGATTTATGAAATTTTCAACACTCGTAAGCGGTAAACCTCATCTTTTAGCAAGTTATGACACTGTTTGAGTGCGCATCCACATAGTTCGTTTGCGCAACCCACACTTTTCTAAAAATAACTGGGAAGCTTTTCGGCTAATGCAAACCCATGCTTTTCTATTTAGCTTTCTTCGAGTACGTACTTTCAGGGAATTTCTGACTGACTTTAAAACTTTACAAGCAAAAAGGCTTGGTGACATGAACTATTTCGAATGTAGATTATTGAACAAAAGTTGAGTTAACTGAGACGAAAAGGACACATCCAGTGTATAGTGGTAAGCAAAGACTCCTCAACTAGCAACTTTTAGCTTGCGTAGCGTAGGTAATACTCTAAGGGGCAATTTCATTGCAATATCATGGTCAGTAGATTTTTCTTGATCATTGAAGCATTGCCTCTATGTGATTGCATAAGAAGACCCCTAGTTTACTTTCCATGGCATTGAGGAACACAGTGTAATATCGTGTCATAAGGCCAATGGTTATGTTGCATAGCATTTTGTTGGTGAGGGCATAATATGTGGGTTCGATTTTTTACTACTATAAGACAGCTACCTATTTAATTTCCGTAGACGTGCTATGCGTAGGTTTGAATCTGTTAAGTCGATAAAGGTTAGGTTGAGGTTTATGCCTAGAATTGTGTTTAAGGGCTAATGCGAGGGCTATAAATTAGTCTAGAAGATAAGGCCGGGATTTAGGCAATGTCGTTAGGAATTAAGGTTTGAGCTGGGACTTATGGCTATGGAATAAAATTCAATGATTAGGGCTAGGGCCTTGCTTTGGAACGTAAGCTTGCGGAACGAAGTTTTACAGTAAGAAGTTGTGCTTTAGTTTACGCTCTAGGATTAGAGCGTAGGAAGGGAGTTATAGCTCAGTGCTTTTAGCCCATTTACAGTCTTCTTACACATTACACGTGTTCTTTCGTGTTTTTTTCCGTTAGATTGCTTTGAAGTATTTAAACAGTGTTATGGTGTAAATTATTCTTTCCCAAAGTCCTAGCTCCGCCGGTACCCATTCCACATCCATCAAATCTACTTACCACCAGTGCCGTAGTAGAGGAGACCTTGGACTGGGTGTTCTCATTGAACTTATATATTTATCTCTCATCGCATTATTAACAGCAAA